GTAACTGCCTCGTATCTGTATATATCAGCTGGATATCTGAGCTCATTTGTTCATTTCCCTCAGCCTCGGCTAAAAGGGTAGGTTGCATGACGTACAACCCTATATCAGATCCTCCACTCCTGAATGACTGTCTTAATTTGAGTGATTCTCGGGTGTATTTTTTATAGCATCTGTTCGTCAAGGCCTTGGGTTTTCTGTCAGTCTCGAACGTAAAGTCAAGTTTTTCAATTTTGTTTTTTCTGGTCAGTCGCCGTTGCTTCTAATCTGATACCAAAAATAACATTTTTTTCATTTCTATATGGTTTTGAAATGACGTTAGAGTGCCAGGCTGTTTTAAGACCCATTTATTAATCTTATGCTGCTTCTAAGAGGAGCATAACGAAATGCTTCAGTGATGATACGATCTCTCTTTTGATATATTTCTTCTCAAAGCATATTTTGAAAATAAATTGTCGTAGTTACATGTGGTTATAGGATCAAAAACTGTTTATTATTTCGTGATGCTATTTAAAGTGACTTCGATCAGTTGAGTCTATTCATAATTTACATATAGTGTTTTAGGTATGGGAAGTGAAGCTCAGTGGCAACGAATTGAAGGTCGAATTTCTGTCAAATTTAGCCAGGCATCAGAAGGCTGTGAATATTTTGCGGTTTTCGCCAGATGGTAGGTTTGGTTTGCCTTATTTTCATGACGTTAACATCGATCCTTGAGGTTAAAGATTTAATATGAAGGCACAAATTATTTGTTTACTTCGTGAACTTCACAAATTTGATTCTTATATTGTATATTCAACTTTTTGCTATTTTGTTTACCCGTTACACCCTGTGTAGATTATTAGCTAGATATCAAGTGATCAATGCGAATTAGAATTTAGAGCTATGAAATGCATCTAATTAGGTGATATACAACGTATTAGTGTAACAGATCTCAAGTAACTTTTACGTAAAATTTTTTATAATTCTCAATTGGGCATTGTACAGCAACCATAGTCTTTTTCGATGCAGTTGCATGGTAAGAAGATAATACTGTTCACTGCCTAATATCTGTGATGACATTCTGTATATTCATGTCTAATATATAATTTTAATAGTGCCGCTTCTCTCCTAGTTGAATAGGGTGATGGCTGCGTTGTATTTGAGCATCTAAACTGCATCTCGAGTCATCAGTAGATTGCAAAGGGAACCACAGTGTAAAGTTCAGGTATTTATTACTTCCGAAGCACACGGCAGTAGGTGCTAGCATGTTTACCACTCTATCCCACACGCGCCAGTAATAATCTAAATCAGAGGGAACGTGGTCAGGTTCTTTTACACTGTCCCTTGCCTTTATTCTTTCTAAATGTCCATTCCGCGTTTACCATGGGCATCTAGTTCGACATCATCCGCGCTTTGATTCTTCCACGCGTAGAATGCGGTTCCGGTTTATTTTTAAGGTGGTCTGCCTTATGTCTTTGGGTCCTT